TGTGAGACCCACTGAATGGCTAATGTGTCAAAAAATGAAAGGTAACGGTTGACATGGAGCTAATTTAGATAATGAAGCATTAGTGTTGACACCACAATATAGGTACGGAACACTTATATATCAAATTTTATAAATCACTTACCAAATTCTTAACACGTAGTGTCGACACCAAAAAGGGCGGTATCAGCACCCAACCCGTGTCGGGTGATCCTTTTACCTTGATTTTTTTTTTTAACAAATAATGAAAAGTATATAAAACTCATGAAAAATCATAAACATAGTGCTAAACTTATAGACTAGTTAAACACAATAAAATGCACTACATAGATTTACAAAAACTAATAACAATTGATAAAAAATGCTATTAAAAATTGTACTTCTAGTTTATGATATGACATAATAATAGATAGAAAGTAAAGAATCTTAAAATGGATTGTAAGGGTTAAGTATTCATTATACTCAAACTAATAATATCATTGCTATTCACAATAAAAAAAATAAATAAAGAAGCAATTCTACCTTGATATTATGAAAACAACAAATAAAAAGAGTCACATAATAAATTATATTTTAAAGTTGTATAGTTCTTTCAATCAGTTATGAAAAATATAATAAGAGTTTAGATTTTTTTTTTATTAAATTGGTATGAAAATATTATTATTTTAATTGTTAAGAAACTCTTTTGGAGAATTCTTCCCACTACTTCAATCTTTTTAGGATTTTTTTTTTTTTGAACATATTTGTAAGGGGTGGGTTTCGAACCCAGTCCGAGAAAGGGGAAATGCATTGGGGTAGCTATTGCTATTAGGTCTCAAGGGCCGAGTGCATCTTTTTAGGATTTGTTAGTAATTTATTTTACCTTAATTTTAATTAATTTTTCTTGAACTCCATTAACAAGATTTAGAAGCCCAACATGGGCTAAGTTCTGACACCACATATTTCGGTGCTCGATGCTATACATTGGGAAATCAAGCATTTCATCATGTGAAATTTGGTACGTAAGTATTGAAGGTGTTGACACCTATGCTTTACTGTCCAAATCAGGGCAGTCAACTATCATTTTTTTGATGAATCAGCAATTTAGTGGATCCCATATATAGAATCCATTCCCCAACTCATCATTAACATCCAATTAATTCTTGAATAAGAAAATAAAAAAAAAGTTATTTCTTTAATTAAAAACTTCTAAAAATGGATAATTTTGATTAATTCAAAAAAATAATAATATGCTTAATTAAAAAAGTTTTAATAAATAATATCCTTATATATGCGAAATATTCTCGTCTTCTATTTTTTTCCCTTCGTCTCTTTTCTAAAATCTTCATAGTTTCTACTTCATTTCCCCAACAATGGTAAACTCTAAGTCAAAGGTTTAATTTCCATCAATTAGAGTTTAGAATTTTGCTTCTCCCTCATCCAAATCCTGTACTTCTTTCACTCATCTAATTTTATAATGTATTCATATTAAATTTGTATGTCAATGACAAAAAAAATTTGTGACTCCAAATTACATAAGTAAATAGAGACACTTGTCTCAAGTGATAAAAATTGATCCAAAACAAGTTGGAAACATAAATTTAAATCTCTGTTACCATACGTATACAAACTGTTTTGACAAATCACTCCCACAAATATTAATTAAAGATATATTCCTATTGAAGCAATTAAGTTCTTAAATTTTGTGATTTTGACAATTTAACTATTTTTTGGATAAATTTAATGTTCGTTTTGTATCCTATTTACATGCATAAGATAAATACCCACCACATAGGTAATGGTATGTTAATATTCTGTTCACACTTCACACAAGTAAAGTATAAACAAATATTAAGCCTACAGTAAAGAAAGAGGACTAAATTGCTTGAATTATTAACTTTAAAGGCTTATTTACTTTCTTAAAAATTTAAGAACTTATTCAAAAATTGAGAAAAATTTGAGGCCTTAAGGGTTTTGCCTAATTCTCTACACATAAGTCATAGCTCTCCCCCGTGTGTTAGGGTTTTTTTTTTTATTTTTTAATAATTTGGCATAAGAAGTGATTGAACTCATTAAAAAGAAAAATATACCTATTCAATATAGTTAATGCCACCATAGTCCGTTGCCCCTTGGTAGAACTCTCAAATTCACCTTAAAAAAATATCAATAAGAAAACATTCACTCCTCACATTCACCTTTAAAAAAAATATGGATAAATTATCCCTTCAAATCATAAATAAATACAAATTATTTATTTTTTAATATTTTTTGTTAAAAAATACTAACATGACAAATAAAATTTTGACGTTTTTCATTGAACAAAAAATTATTTGTATTAATTTATGATTTGAAAAAGTAATTAGTTCTTGTTTTTTTTTTGAAAGATAAATGTTTTCCTATCGATAATTTTTTAAGGTGACATGGAGAGTTTTGCCGCTAAGCCCGTTTGTTAGTTTGCAAGGGCTTAACTAGCCTTGGAACTCAGCACTAGTAAGTTAGGCTCTTATTCAATAATAAATGCCTGACCAACAAGACCACGCGATGGCCTAACTCTCCCCATGTGAATAATGAATTCTACGTTTGAACACTGTTTTCTGTGTCCCCTTTATCCCTAAATGAGTACAGATTCATTTTACCGAACTCTTATTTCTCTCTGTTCAATGTAGCACGCATGACATTGACCATGGCATATCCGTAGAAGCTACAAAAATCTGGCCGCCCTTTTCTTCTTATTTTAAGTTTCCTACCAAACCCAAATGAAGAAGAAAAATGTCAATAATATAATTATAAAATTATATAAAATTTTAAATTTATAATTATAATATATTATTAAAATATATAATATTATAAATAAATTATTAAATAAAAAATTAAATATATTTACTATTTAAATAATTTAATAATAATATTCTTTCATTAACTATAAAAGGTCTTAAAATTCAATGTATGATATGTGGTTGTAGTAATTTAAAGATAAAAAAAAGTTATCATTATACAAGTTAAAATAAAAAATTAATTATTTTAATTATAATATATTATATTTATAAATTTACAATATTACCTAATATCTTAATAAGGTTATTTTTGAAAAAAAATACAGGAGATGATGTGAAGTCAATTCAACCAACAACTCATCTCACCAACCGCAAAAACCGGCACGTGTAAGTTGGTCCCTTTTTGAAAAAGAAAATAATTTAAGAATAATTTTTATATTATTTTTTAAGATAATTTTTTATTATTTTTAAATATAACTTTTATATTAATTAAAATATTAATTTTTTAATAATTTA